GGTTGAGTACCACCAGCTAGCCCATAATTTTACTGATTTCAGAAAATACATTCAATTCGAATTTTATATACCTTGGAATTTCTTCAAACAATGCATATATGTACCAACCTCTTTACCCATATGGCTGACTAACGTAACATATGAATGAAATAAGTAATTCCATTTTAATACATTCCCCTAGTTTATAGTTCTTGGAAATTTATTTCTTAATAAATTACCTCTGATTAAATCAATATCATACATGGACCAATAGATGAGTTAACAGGAAATAGTCTGAAAAAGTAAATTATAGTTTTTGAAAATCCTTATTATTTGTAGTTAGAGCTAAAGCTAATAAACTTTAGATAAACCCATTGCAACTGAATCTTACTTTGATGTTAACCAATGGGCCACCCACTGAAAATAGGAACAGCTAGTAACTTAAAATAAGATTTCATGGAGCATACAATATCTTTTTTATTTGTGTTTTGATTTAAATATTAGTATCCCTTCCTATATCCAAAAACTTTACAGCAGCATGCAAGTAAAACCACTACTAACAGGTTAAAACAATTTAAAGTAATACCAGGATCTGCAAAACTGTAGGCTATTAAAACTTTTTTTCAAAAAAATGTACACTGGTGTTATAAGCATTTGACATTCTAAATCCAAAAATGACATCATATTTGGATCATCGTATACAGTTTTTCACAACTTCTTTGAAGTTTCTATGTTGTAATATTTGACTAGATGAAATTAGTATTGAAATAAGTAATGAAAATTATGAAAAAAATCTGTGTAGTGAGATTTTTTAATGTTTTCTTTAATTCAACAACCTAAGATAAATGAAGAACAGCTACAGTACTGAAAAACATGCGCTATATTAAAAATATTAAAATTACTAACACGCTTTCAAAGGATGAGAAGTCTACAGCACTTTTAACACACATTGTGCATAGCATTTGAAATAAACCATAGAGACCCAAAGATCTTAAATAAATTATGATTTTTTTAAAAAAAATTAAAAAACTTACTTCCTAAACAAACAAGGTAATCAAAGTGCCATGGCTCAGAATAATAATAAAAAAAT